TCTCTCTCTCTCTCTCTCTCTCTCTCTCTCTCTCTCTCTCTCTCTCTCTCTCTCTCTCTCTCTCTCCCCCACTTCCACTTCGGGCTTCTCCCCTATCGCCACCTCAGCAATGTGTGTTCCCTCTGACGTCCTCTGACATACCACTGTGCAGATCATCACAGGGCGCCTATCCTCCCTCCTTGTCAGCAATAAGACTTGGAGGATGGTGAAGCACTTCCTCACCTTCGTGGAGACGAGCAGCAGATTACACATGTCGACGCCAGGTAAGCTTCCCCTCATCTCCCGTCACTCTCACAGCCCTGATCCTCCTCCTCCTCACCAATCCGCAGCACCTAGTCTACAGCTACGGAGGCTATGGCCGCGCCAACATAATCGCGCTCTACGCTGGCGCCCTCCAGCAATATCTGGCGCCAGCGTCACACTCCAGCAGCCTCGCCTAGCAGCACTACTAACATGGAGCCAGTGCAAGGCAGAATGCCTTGCCCCGTGGTCTGACTGTCCTTTTGTGGCATTGACCAGTGTTGACCGGGGGCAGATCTGAAACTTCGACACCGTCATGGTCTGCCCTTTGACGGTGTCGAAGTTTCAGAACTGCCCCCGATCTCGACGGCCTGGACGCAGCCTTGAAGCAGCGGGTCCCTTTCCCCAGTCGGGACTGGAATCTCCTGGACACCTGCAGAGAACCACTGCTGAGCATCTGAGCTATGGCCGAGGCTGACAAGGGGGGGGTTGACTTTGACTTTGGGCCTCTGCTTTTCCCGTGCTGGGTCCGATTCTTGATTGTCCAAGAATAAGTCAGCCACCTCACGTGGGGCCTCTGGCCGCTGTTTTTCACTCAGGCCTCGATACCCGTTGACCCGGGTATCAAAAGAAGGGGCCTCTGTCCAAGAAAGTAGCCTTTGACTCTCGAGGGCCCTCGCTCAGACATTTCTCAGTCTTGCGACGCAACGATTTGGCCCTTGTTTCTGAGCGTTTGACCAAAAGTCAACGCTGCTAGCCCGGGGCTGTATGTCTATGAACTGAGTTTATTGCATTAGACTGAAAGATAGGGTCGTCAATGTGACCAACTGCCTATCGTTCTTCACCCGCATACAACAAAAGTGACGACCCTACCGTCTTCCCCCGAACACAACGCACCCTTAATTGGCTGTATCTGGCCGGAAATATAGCTTGTATACATTCATTTTTAGGGTGCGTTATGTTCGGGGGAAGACGGTAGCCCGGGGCTGTATGTCTCTATATACCGACAGTACGTTGTATTCGGGTCAAGAACGATAGGCAGCGCTGCAGCTGCTGCAATGATTGTTAATTTCTTTTATCCTTTCTGTATCGGAAATTCATTCCCAATTAGTTCCATATGGACTCGAACTTGGGTCTGTATTTCAACAGTTCATGGGTGTAGTGCCAACTGAGTTAGGCCCTTTGCTTGTGCGATTGTCTGTGAGCGAGCCACAGAGAGAGAGCGAGAGAGAGAGAGAGAGAGAGAGAGAGAGAGAGAGAAGAGCGTATAAGGGGAAAAGGGAAAAGAAAGGAGACCAGCAGAAGGGCAGTGGAGGGGAGGAGGGGGGAGCCGGAGGGGAGGAGGGGGGAAAAGGGGGAAGGGGAGGAGGAGGGGGGAAGTAAATGTGCAAAGCGATAAGACAACCCAACTCACGTTTCAAAACCTTTAACAGATTTAGGGTTTAGGGTTCTATCTTAGTCTGATTCAGGCTCAAAGAAAAGACCTTTTACCTTTTCTTTGGGCTTTTGAAGAACGAGAAAAATTGTTAGAATTTTATGAAAGAATTTCGGGATTGGCCGTCTGCTGTGATTTTATTCTATAAATATCTAGATTCAAAAAATATGTTTGACGACTAGGCTACCAGAGTGGCTCGGGTCCACTGGCCCGGCCGGGCCAAAAAGAAAAAAATATATATATATATATATCTCTGCCTACGGTTTACCGGGCAGTTCTATTTGTGACGATATATATTATTTTTTATTTTTTAATTAAAATTTTTATTTTAAATTTGGTAAAGAATTTCGATGTGACCCTGAGGCAAAAGTTGTTCAGTTTTTTTTTTTGCATAACATAGTTGTTTTTCGGAGTTTTTGGATTTTTTTTTTTT